AGCTGGAGGCGCCAGCGTGTCTCTGCAGACCCTCTCCCCCTACAACAAGGGCCTCATCCGACGAGCCATCAGCCAGAGCGGTGTGGCGCTGAGCCCCTGGGTCATCCAGAAGAACCCCCTCTTCTGGGCCAAAAGGATTGCCGAGAAGGTGGGCTGCCCCGTGGACGACACCGCCAGAATGGCCAAGTGCATGAAGGTCACCGACCCGCGCGCCCTGACGCTGGCCTACAAGATGCCCCTGGCGGGCATGGAGTACCCCATGCTGCACTATCTGGGCTTCGTCCCTGTCATCGATGGAGACTTCATCCCTGATGACCCTGTCAACCTGTACGCCAACGCCGCCGACATCGACTACATAGCGGGCACCAACAACATGGACGGCCACATCTTCGCAAGCATTGACGTGCCAGCCATCAACAAGGACAAGCAGGATGTCACGGAGGAGGACTTCTACAAGCTGGTCAGCGGGCTCACCATCACCAAGGGCTCCGAGGGCGCCAAGTCTGCCTTTGGCATCTACACCGAGTCCTGGGCCCAGGACCCATCCCAGGAGACGAGGAAGAAGACCGTGGTGGACTTCGAGACTGACATCCTCTTCCTGGTGCCCACGGAGATCGCCCTGGCCCAGCACAGGGCCAACGCCAAGAGTGCCAAGACCTACACCTACCTGTTTTCCCACCCCTCTCGGATGCCCGTCTACCCCAAGTGGGTGGGGGCCGACCACGCCGACGACATCCAGTACGTCTTCGGGAAGCCCTTCGCCACCCCCCTGGGCTACCGCGCCCAAGACCGGACAGTCTCGAAGGCCATGATTGCCTACTGGACCAACTTCGCCAAGACTGGGGACCCCAACATGGGCCACTCCGCCGTGCCCACGCACTGGGACCCCTACACCAGGGAGAACGGCAACTACCTGGAGATCAACAAGAAGATGGACAGCAGCTCCATGAAGCAGCACCTGAGGACCAACTTCCTGCGGTACTGGACCCTGACCTACCAGGCACTGCCCACCGTGACCGACCAGGGGGCCGCCCCCGTGCCCCCCACGGACGACTCCGAGGCCGCCCCCGTGCCCCCAACGGATGACTCCGAGGCCGCCCCTTCACCCCCCGCGGACGACTCCGAGGCCGCCCCTGCGCCCCCAGCGGACGACTCTGAGGGGGCTCAGATGCCCACAGTCATTGGCTTCTAGTCCCATGAGCCTCCGTCCCAACAGGCCTCAGGGGTGCCGTCCCAGGAGCCCGCCCCGCCCCTCCTGAGGTCTTCCTGAATAAAGCCTCCTCTCTGGC